TTTACATAATATGTGTGTGTACTGTGTATATTTATTATGTGTATATAAATACACACATACATGTACATATTTAAGAAAAATATGTTATGTTTATATATTAAATATATTTATATATATTATAAAATATTATAATATAAATATATAAATGTATATACATGTAAATATTTTCAAATATATATACTGTATGTGTGTGTATTTATGTGTACACAAATATATATATATATATGTGTGTGTGTGTGTGCATGTATAATATCAGGTATTTAGGAGAATAAAATAAATAGCGTTTCATCTACATTTAAAGGGAATAGAACATGTTTCTGATGAAGAAAAATGCATCTAACTTTGAAAAAACCTTGTTCTTTCACCTGATGAATTTTGCTGGTCTGAATGGCTCCATAGGAATGTCGTTTCTATTCACTATCCTGTTTATGGCAAATATTTGCTGTCGGTGTGAATAGGCCTTTCAGCTGAAAAGCGACATTTAAAGTCATTCAAATAATGAAATAAAGGACATCTCTGAGCTTTAATGAGAGCGGTGTTTGTGTTTAGATGCATCTGTCCGCCGGGGTTTGTGGGTGACGACTGCAGTGTAGATTATAATGAATGTGAGGGACATTACTGTCAGAACGGAGCGCGCTGTGTGGATCATGTGGCGGGATACACATGCGTCTGTCCTCAGGGCTACAGGTGAGTCAGTGCCCCGATAGATTCAACTCAAGTCAATTTAATTGTCATGGTTATTTAATATGAAAGCCTAATATAATATATATTAGACTTGAAACATACTAATGTGATTCTATATAGAATAAAAAAAATTGTAATATAAAGTAGCATTAAAATGTTTTAAAATGAAAATGTTTTATATATAACAAAAATGAAAGAAATAAGAAAGAAAATATTTAATTTAAGAAATAAAATATTTAATTATAAAATAATGTTAAAAATGTTTTCACATGACTCCATGTTTATTTTTCCCTGTAAAAAAATATAAAGTAGTCCTGCCTATTCATATCTGTCAATGACATGACACTAATTTATTATATGAATTAATAAAACAAAATACATTAAAATGCAGTCAATACATACAATGACTTAAATACACCTCTTTAATGATGAATGTTTTTCATTTTTGAATTAAAATTTCATTTTGATATTTTCTTGTGGTGCTTATGTAGTTTAATCTTTTAATATTATTTGTATTTTGTTAAAATATTATATTATTTTATATGTCTATATTCATCTTATTTATATTGCAATACTATAATAATATATATTATACAATATTAGAAATGGATTTTTGTAGTTTGATTAACTTTTTTTGGAATAAAACACAATTATTTTGAAGGTATAATTTATTTATAATATGTATATTATTCTGTTATATATTATAAAATATTATAAATATTAATTCATGTTAATATAAAAAAAACAACAACTTAATATCAATATAAAAACGGTCCACTAAATCAAAGTCATGTGGTACAACTAACATGCAGGGGAAAAAAAGCTAAATAAATAAATTACAACAACAACAATTAAAATATTGATATTCTGATCAGATCTGCACTAATAATAATAATAATAATAATAATTTGACCTTAAATGGTATTAATTAAATTATAAAATAAATAATAATTTTACCTTTTTAATGACGAGTAAGATTAGCTAGTGAAATGTCAGGTGGTGCGACTCCCCAAAAACTTAATGATGAATTAATAATTCATGATATTTGTAAAATATACTGTTTTACATTGAAAAATGTATTTAAAGATAAATGATTACATTTGAACACTTGTGCTGAAGGTGTAAGTAAAGTATGCGTTTTACTCTATGATTACACCACAAGACATTTTTAGAGTATATAAATGTAATCTTTTATTTAAAAGTGTTTGAAAACCATATGAAACCAACATTATCACAAAGAGCACATTTTTAAGAACGAGATTAGTCTTTTCTTTATTGCGGACGGACACTGTTGTATGTCACCTGTGCAGTGTTGTGCTGTTTGTGAGCGTATGGTGTTTTGTGGCAGCGGTCGGCTGTGTGAAGCTCCGGCGGCCTGTGAGTCGTTGCTCTGCGAGAACAGCGCCCCCTGTGTCGAGACTGGAGGTACTGCAGCCTGCCAGTGTCTACCGGGGTTCGGGGGGCCGCACTGTGAAAAGCTCCTCAGCGTCAACTTCATCGACAGAGACTCTTACCTGCTGCTCAACGACGTCAAAAACTGGCCGCAGACCAACATCACGCTTCAGGTGTGGTTCATTCAACAACGAAGGAATCATTCAATCACTGTTTCAGCAGGCCAGTAAAAGAAAGGAATGAATGACTAAATGAACGTCTCAGACAGTCTATCAAGTCCACCTTTCCCACCCTGAATTTTTAACTTTGACGTTGTCATGACAACAGCATTTATTCTCTTGGTTGTCAAGGACAATTAACAATCAAATTTGGAGCGTGTGATGCGTGTCCTGTAATTGTGATGTGCGTAAATGACACAAAATAAATATGTACATAAATATGGCAAATATTTGCAAATAAATAAATAGTGCAGCTATATGCAAATCAATAAATATATGCTAATAAATAAATAAATAATGTTGTCAAATTGTTATATATTAAAAGAGATATTATTTACAGTATCTAGAAAGTTTTTTTTTCTCTCTTTCTCTACATGTGGCTGCACATATGTGAACTATTACTCGCATTAAGCCACCAAACATGCGTATTAATGTTGTTATAAGCACTCTTTAATTTATGATAATACGAGAGAGACAAAGACCTTCACCATATGCCCAAAATATAAAAGGGAAAACAGCTCCTTAATGAAATAATTTCGGTCCAAGCATATGCTTCAGATTCATTTTCATTTTCCCTGACCTTGACACGCGAAACATATGCTAAACGAGAAAATATAAATGTAACTTTAACAGCCATATGTCAGAGTAATTGTCATATTTTTTATGTTTCTACTATTGTAAGATGCAAGGATGCAATATAAAGGATAGAGTGAAACACACAAGACATACTAAACACTCATTTACATCTGCGTTGCACTAATATGTATTACGGAAAGCACAAAATAAATAACCACTAGTATATATGTATATATATATATATTAGTACCACATGGTCAATATAAAAGAAAGATGTTTAATATTAAACAATATAAATAATTGTATTTTTAAGTAACTTTTTTAAAATGTATATACATAATATATAATTTTTATATTTTATATGAAATAATTAAACATGCTATCATTCAAAAGATTATTTTTTTCAAAAGAAATTAACAACTTTATCATCAAGGATGCATTAAATTGATCAAAAGTGACAGTCAAGACTGTTATAATGTTACAAATAAATAAATAAATAAATATAATTACTAATATATTGCATATTATATATTAGCCACCAATGTATATATTAGTACCACATGGTTAATGTGAATAACTTTATTATCAATAATTTTTTATACATAATATAGAAATACTTTTAATATTTTATATAAAATATTTAACCACACTATTGTTTAAAAGTTTGGGATCAGCAAGATTTTTTTAAAGAAAATTGTATTCAGCAAGGAAGCACTGAATTGATCAAAGTTGACTGTAAAGAAACATATAATATTATAAAAGATTTCTATTTCAAATAAATTATTTTCTTTTGAACTTTCTATTCATCAAAGAAAAAGTTTCCACAGAAACTCTAACCAGCACAACTGTTTTTAACATCAATAATAATAAGTGTTTCTTGAGCAGCAAATCAGCATATTAGAATGATTTCTGAAGATCATGTGACACTGAAGACTGGAGTAATGATGCTGAAAATTCAGCTTTGATCATGGAAATATATTACATTTGAACAGATATTCACATAGAAAACTGCTGTTTTAAACTGCAATATTATTTCATAATTTTACACTATTTTTTCTGTATTTCTGATCAAATAAATGCAGGCTTGGTTGAGCATAATGTTAAAAATCTCAAACATTTGAATAATACTGTTGCGTTTGGTGTCAGCCTTGTATCTTTATTGCACTGCCGTGCTTATTAAACTTCCTTTCAGGTCTCCACAGCTGAAGAAAATGGGATTCTTCTCTACAACGGCGTCAGTTACCACATGGCTGTAGAGTTACACGACGGCCGTGTCAAAGTGACCTACGACGCAGGGAATCAGCCGGGAAGCACCATTTACAGGTACATTAAAGATCACGCTCGTCTTTAACATGTACCTATACCTGCTCTGATTCACTGCCGGTTTCCTCAGTTCTGAAACAGTGAACGATGGACGCTTTCATACCGTCGAGCTGGTGACTTATGACCGGATGGTCAACCTTTCAGTGGACGGAGGGCTTCCTACGACTCTGGACAGCTCGGGACAAGTCCAGCCCCTCACCAGAGATGCCCCACTATACGTCGGGGGTACGATTTTCACCCATAATCGTGATTAATGATCCTACTTGTCTGCAGCTATCTCTAAATGTGTGTTTTTCTCATCAGGTATGCCTGAAAACGCCCAGTCGCTGTCTTTCAACCAGTGGCCGCCTCTCAACGGATCCAGTTTTCAGGGCTGCATACGAAACCTCTACATCAATAACGAGCTGCAGGACTTCAGGCGCACGCAGATGAAGCCGGGAGTGGTGCCGGGCTGCCGGGCCTGTCAGGAGCTGCGCTGTGAGAACGGACTGTGTCAGCCGGACCCCGCCGCCGGGCCTGTGTGCCGCTGTCAGCCGGGATGGGCCGGCAAACACTGCGATCAGGCCCTGCTGGCAGCCGCTACCAACCCCTGCCAGAAAAACAAGTGCGTACCTGTGTGTTCACGGTACATGTTCCAAATTAAAAGACAAAAAAATGTTTGTGACGGTTATTTAATATGAAAGCCTAATATAAACGATAAATTATAGACTTTAAATATACTGATGTAACATCAAATATTTCATATCAATTATTGAAAAAAAAAAAAGTTTATCATACAATATGTTAAAAATGTTTTAAAATAAAAATATAGCTTCAAATATTTTTTTGAGATAAAATAAAAATCTTATATATTTTAGATAAAACATAATATTTTCATTTTATATATTAGGCTTTTATATTATATAACCATGTGATAATGCCAATTGAATGTTTCTATATAAATCATAACGTGTATATTTTTTATCAAATATATAACATTTTAATTTTGTCTATGAAAATATTATATTTTTGTTTAAAAAATACAAACACATATATAATATAATATAATATAATATAATATAATATAATATAATATAAAGGTTGTAAATAAAAATGTTGGTAAAGGTTATATTGACAAAAAAGTTTTTTTATATATTTAAAAAATATATACAAAACAAATTATGTATATATTATATAATATTTAATACTTTTAGATAACATAATATTTTCATTTTATATATTAGGCTTTTATATTATATAACCATGTGATAATGCCAATTGAATGTTTCTATATAAATCATAACGTGTATATTTTTTATCAAATATATAACATTTTAATTTTGTCTATGAAAATATTATATTTTTGTTTAAAAAATACAAACACATATATAATATAATATAATATAATATAATATAATATAATATAAAGGTTGTAAATAAAAATGTTGGTAAAGGTTATATTGACAAAAAAGTTTTTTATATATTTAAAAAATATATACAAAACAAATTATGTATATATTATATAATATTTAATACAAAATATTAAATGAACATTACCACATGTTTATGTAGTATAAAGGCCAATGTAAAAAAAATGTTTTTATATAAAAATATCATATAGCTAAAATATTTCATACATTTTTTTTTTACAGATAAAATAAAATGTTACATATAATATGAAATAATATACATATTTTCCTACATTTTTTGTACATACATTTATGCATAGAGCAGACGTTTTTTTTCCAAAGTGACTTACATTGCATTCAAGATATTCATTTTGTCAAGTTCATGCATTCCCTGAGAGCTGAACCCATGACTTTGGTGTAGTAATTTAATTTCATAATATAAAAGCATTACTATCCTGGCAAAATATTCCATTAATGTGACACAAACCACTAGTGTACCACAAACCCCTACTTACACCGTTTATAAACATAGTCTTTCTCTTCCTGTGAGGTGTGTTCACGGCACCTGTGTCCCAGTCGACCTGCAGTTGTATCGCTGCGAGTGTGCGGACGGTTTCCAGGGGCCCCTGTGCGCTCAAGAGGACGTGTCCTCGGGCCCCTGTGTGGCGCTGTCATGCCAGCACGGCTTCTGCGAGGTATCACCGACGGGACAGGCGCAGTGCGTTTGTGACAGCGGCTATAGCGGCCAGTTATGCGACACAGGTAAACAATGCTCACTGCCATAGCAAACGACTATCCTAACGCCATTATTTGAGTGTATGCTTTGCCTCCAGTGGCTCCGTGTCAGGGCGAGTCTGTACGGGACTTCCATGGCGTGCGACGCGGCGAGGTCCAGTGTCGCAGCACGCAGCCGCTGTCCTGGGTGGAGTGTCGCGGCGGCTGCAGGCCGGATTCGGGCTTCTGCTGCGGCGGCACCAGGGTGCGACGCAGACGCTACAGCTTCGAGTGCGACGACGGCAGTTCATTCACGCAGGACGTCGAAAAGACGGTCGAATGCGGCTGTGGAAAGTGTGTGTAGTCGTCAGAGACCACAGAAGACATTAAAAGAGAAAATAGTGTGCATTTGTATCTGTGGACCGTAACATCTGTGAGGTAGCTTGAAGAACTATTTAAGAAAAGATAACCCTTGCATGTGAATGATGAAATATGGGTATTTTGTGCTGTCAGATGAGGAATTATTAATGTTGAGAGTTAAAATCTAACAATTGGATCATAGATTTAAGAGTACAGTTTAACGGGCAGCATGTTATACAGGATTTATAGTATTTAATATAATTGTAAAATATTTGCTTAGCATTCATTTTGATTGTAATATATACGGTTTTTGATTTCCATATAGTATTTTTGTATGTTGAACACCGTGAAGAACTATTTAAGAAAAGATAACCCTTGCATGTGAATGATGAAATATGGGTATTTTGTGCTGTCAGATGAGGAATTATTAATGTTGAGAGTTAAAATCTAACAATTGGATCATAGATTTAAGAGTACAGTTTAACGGGCAGCATGTTATACAGGATTTATAGTATTTAATATAATTGTAAAATATTTGCTTAGCATTCATTTTGATTGTAATATATACGGTTTTTGATTTCCATATAGTATTTTTGTATGTTGAACACCGACATTGGTGATGTACATTTTTTACCTTTTAGTCTGTTTTCTACCCACAGTTGTTTGACAAAGTAGTTTAAGCAGCTTCTTTTCATTTAATGCCGCCTCATAAGTGTTTGGAAGTGTTTCTATTTATTTCATTAAAGGTTTTTGCCTCTTAAAAGGCTGGTTTTACCCTACAGTGTGTTTTAGTTTCTTAGGTCCTATGTGATTTCTACCGAGCCCCATGGTGATCAAAATAATAATAAAAAATATGAGATGGGAGAAAAAACTTCAGTGCTTTTGCATTCACTCACAAATCTATGTAAAGTAGATAAAATACAATTATAGGTAGGCCTATTGCGTTCCCCCGAAAAGCTTTACGTTCACTCACAAATACACTGAAATATAGTTTTTCTTCCCACCTCATATTTCAATCAGAAGTTTTGCGAGCGAAGGTACTGCATTCCCCCAAGAAACTTTGCGTTTTATCGCAAAATATTGACATGCTTTAGCAAAAACACATTGCGCTTCCCAGAGAAACTTGACGTTTTATTTCGCAAAAAACATTTGCGCTCTTTAGCAAGAATATTGTGTTTCCTTAAACTTTGTGTTCTCTTTCAAAACACTCAATTCTTTCTTTGCCTCCACTCACAACTCTGTAGCGTCCGTTTACAAAACTTTTGCAATTTCCCTGAGAAACTCAACATTTTCTCACAAAACATTTGCATTCTCTCACGAAAAGTATCCCAGCGAACATTTGGACGTTTAATGACCGTTGAAAAGACGTCCCTCCGACACGTCCCGTCATGGTTGAAAAATATATCCAAAATGAAAACTGAACCGACGTCTTCTGTCCGTGAATTACACGTCTTTTCTGCACGTCCCTGGACGTCTAAATGTGTCATCTTCTGGATGTTTATAAGATGTGTTGCTGCATAATTTAAGTATAAGCCTGCATATAAAATAATCACACACCCATTGTGCAACATCGTGAAAGGCACATCTGAATTTGACCAATGTTCTAAAAAGGTCCAAAATCGGTCCAGTCAGACCTGAACGTCTATAAAACGTTTTAATCACTGTGTATCACAAACAATAACACATTTGTGGACTAAGGTAAAAAGAAGAGTGTTCTAATTTACCACATATTTTATTACGTGTAAAGGACGTCAGTGGACGTTACTCACAACCTCTTAAAAACTACTTAGGGCACTTAATTTAATTATTGGAGTATTAACAAAGGTGTAAGCACAATTGCTTTTGCATATTTCATAGGAATTTCATAGAGGGTCGTGATGGACTATAAATGCACGTGTAAAGGACGTTAGTGGACGACGTCCTCTCACAACTGATTCACAACAGGGTATACATATTGTACTACACTTAGCTAAAAAAGTCAAGGTAACAATTATATATGCAACCCCAGATAACTGTAGAGATGCACAAACGTATCTGAATGCATTTTTAGGAAATGTTCTGTGTTACATATTTTTACCGATTTATGCCGTCCTACCGCGACTATTTTTGGCCAGGGACACGACGTTGCCGTCGGACCAATGTTTGCTGGGATGCGTTTCTTCGAAAAACTTTGCGTTCTATCACAAATACACTGAAATATAGCTTTTAGTCCTACCTCTTATTATATGGAGCCATTCCCAGATAGCACACATACGTCTGCCAGATGTCTGTTAAAGATCGCTTCATCTGGAAAGCATCTGCTGTGTACAAACATCTGCTAGACGTCTGTAAGATGTCAGTTTTACGTATTCTAAATCATAAACATCTTAAAGACATCTTCTAAACGTCTATTTGACATCTGATAGGAGACGTCCTATAGACGTATTGCAGATGAGCAAACACTCTAAAAAATACGTCTTGCAGATGTTAAATAGAGGTCTCCGTGGTGTGCGTGTGCTATCAGGGCTAATAGTTTTGATAGCGAACAAAGTTTTTCGGGGGGAACGCAAAAGATTTGTGAGTGAATGCAGAGTTTCTCGGGTGAAGCAAAAACATTGAAATATAATTGAAATAATTGACTATCGTCTATATATTTTATGCAAACATTTTTGAATGTTTTATTTGAAGCCATTCCCAACAACTTACAATGTCACTAATTCTTATTTCTGACAGGAATGCAAAATCAATCGGGAGTTAATGATATTTTGAACAGAATAACAAGACAAACCTGTATATTTTATCGCGTTTGCTTCCATTTATTTTTGATCAGTGCGATCGCTACACAACATACAACTTTTTACTCCAAAAGTGCACACATTGTGTATTCACACGTTTACCTCATATTTCTTTAAACAGAATATAACCATAATTTCTCAATGACCCGTAGAAAGACGACTCTTTGCCGATTTGTCAATATTGCGTGATCATAATTAAAACACATTACAGTGACTGCAAACTTCTGCGTTCTGTCTCATAATACAGTCATGCGTCAGTTTATTATACAATATCTGCATTTGGTCACAGTAGAGTGACCAAATGGATACATAGACCAGAAGGTCTAATCCCCCTCCCCCTACAAATCACACCCTGGTTTGAGGTATGATGAAATAAAATACTTCTCTAAATAAAACAACATAATACAAATAATCATGTCTCTATATACAATGTGAATTTATATGAATGTATTATTAATTTAATTAATATAATTTCTCATATTTTAAACCTCTAAACTGAGTGATAAATGTTGGGTTATTTAATATGAAAATAAACGTAATTTTTTGTTACATTAGATGTGTCTTATTTAACCATAACATATAGTTGCACACTAGCTGTCGCATTTCGCGCACTTTTTTACTGCCCGCGAACAGACACCGAAACCTCAACTCCTTTCAGCGCGTTCATTATTCAACTACTTTACCCTCTCAGCTTCATGTGAGGTGATATATCGTGTACCCTTATTCCCCATAGGGCTCGCCGTTTGTAATGCGCTTTCTTGCTGAACATGAACGCTGCTTTCGGACTGAATCTCCCTTGAGATGGGAAACATATGAAGTCCACTTTGCGGGGCGCTTACGGGCGAATCAAACACGTGTTACCGTGGAACAGAGAGTGTGTGCGCACTTCTAGTGCAGAGAAGAGAAATAAGCCGATTTAAAAATAAAAGTGACAAGACGACAGAACGCTCAGCAGGGGCTCCTTACTAAACCACAGGGAATTTGTCGGGAATAGGGTTGGGTCGTTCTTGAACGATTCGTTCGTTTTGAACGAATCTTTAATGTGACTCGGGAAGAACGAGTCGTATCGGGGAGTGATTCGTTCAGTCGCGCATGCGCAACATCCTATAGGTTCTGTACTGGAATTAGTCAAGTAGTTCACCTGGTTCGAGCCTTCGGGTTTTTCCGAGTCGTTCGTTCATCACGTGACAGCCCCATAAGC